TAGTGTCATAGAATTTAAAAGTATATTTATAATTAGACATAGAAGGTAAATAAATTGCATAAGAATCTATTATTGCTTTTACTTTTATGTATAAGGATTATCATTAACTAATGCTATATGGCCTGATCTATATACTTTACTTCCGATATAATTTATGCAATCCAAAGCAGGAAGAGGAGGAATTTTGGCATTAAGTTAATGAGTTTCTTTGCTCTTAATATAATATTGAGGAAAATCGGGGTAAATATTTTTTATTTCTTATTCTCTAGTGAATGGATTAGGATTTAAATAATATGATGTTTCTGGTATATTCTATATTTTATTCTTATTTTTATTTTTTTATGTATTTTACTTTTGTCTCTATTTAAGCTCTAAATATGAAAAATAATAATGCCATTAAAACTGGTAAAGCAACCTTTTTTATTTAATTAATTTTATATATATTAATTTAATTTTTATACTTCACAAAAAGATCCACACCAACTTCTTTTCCAAAGAATAAGATTTTTTCTCATTAATGCTTTATAATGACTCATTATTAATTTAATTATTTAATAATTATTTTATATTTATTTAATTTATAAAAATAATTGACAATAATATATATATTTTAAAATGATTAATCTACAGCTTTTTTATTTATTTTTAAATATGTAATTTATATAATTAAGATAGTAAAAATAAAAATATTTTTGTTTAAATATAAATTTATTTGTTTAAAAAATAAATGTATATAAAATTAAAAAATTAATATATTAGGTAAAAATTGGATTATTTTTCAAAATATTAAATATCATTAATATTATTTTATATTTCTATAAATAAATAAATAAAATTTATTACATATATTTAATTTAATTTAATTTAATTTAATTTAATTTTAAATTATGCTATATTATATTATTATTAATATACAAATAGATAAAATAAAGATTCCCAATATTTATTTTTATTTTAAATATTCAAATAAATGATGTATTTTTTCATTTATTTTTATATTAAGATATTAATTATCAGATATTAAATTAATAGAAAAATTATTATTACTAATTAATTTGATATTTTAAAGAAAAATATTTTCACTTATTTTTTATTTATGAAAATAAATAAGAAAATTTATGACAATTATTATTAAATATATTAATATATATTTAATAATAATTTTTTTTTTTATAAAATAAAATAAAATGATATTAATTAAAATAAATTTAAATAATATATAATAAAATAAATTTTAATTATTTTATCAATCGTTATATATTTTTTTTAAATTTGTTTATTTTTATTTTTTATTTAATCGTAAAAAAAAAATTATATTTTGTTTCTTTGTGATTTAAATTTTCTTAGAATAGAATATCATTCTTATAAGATCTATATATTTCCTATTTTTTATTTCAAATAGTTTAATAATATATTCTTTTCACAAATTAAGTATTAATATTCTTTAACTTTTTTCTAATTTTATTCATTAAAAATCTTTATATATTTAATAAAAAATTATATAATATTTTTTTTATTATAATCATAAAAATATTTTAAAAAAAAATCTATATTGAAAAATAATATAAAATTATAAAATTTATTATAAAGTATATAAATATACAATTAAATTAAAGAAAAATTTCATATATAAATGAATTAAATGAATTCTTTTATATTTATGAAAAATTTTTTTTTAGAAAAAAATCTTATTTTATAAAAGGATTATAAGTAAAATTATAGTAATTAATTATTTATATTAGAAAAATTTAAAAATAAATAAAAATCAAATAAATATAAAAAAATATATATATATGTAATTAAATAAAAGAAAAATTTTCATCAAATTTATTTACATATATATAAAAAAAAAAAAAAAATTATATATATTGTTATTTGAAAAATTTTATAAATAGTAAATTAAGGTTAAGTTTTTATAAATAAAAATTTTAAACTAAATAATAAAAAAAATAATAATAATAAATATATTAATAATTTCTAAAATCATAAAAAATAATATAAAAAAATTAAAAATAAATAAATAAATTAAATATATATATATAAAAAAAAATAATAAATATTTTAATATATGTATATTTATATATAATATATATATTTATATATTTTTATATTTATTTATTTATAATTTTTATTTTTATTTTTTGTATTATATCTTAAAAATCAAAAATATATTAAATAAGTTTTTAATTTTTAATTTTTTTATCTAATTTTTTGTTTAAATATTATAAAATTAAATTTTTTCTTAATCAATTTTTTATTAATAATTTTTTTTTTTATAAATATTTATTAAAAATTTTTAATTTTTTTTAAGAATAAATTAGTAATAATATATATTAATATCCTATATTATTTTAATTATAATCTTCTAAATTTTGTAATACCATTTATATTTTTTACATAATTAAAAATTTTTATTATGTTATTAATTTTTTTATAATTAATAAAATTCAAATATAAAACTAATACATTAAAATATTTTAAAATATTATCAATATTAGTGTTTTTTTAATAATTAAATATAAAAATTATCAAAGTATTCTAATAATAGAATTTATTTAATATTTTATTTATATAACTATTTCTTTACATATCTATATTTTTTTATTTTTTATTTTAAACTAATAACCAATTTTTTTCTTAGATTAAATTATATAATATATATAATCAAAAAAGAACAATAAAAAATATTTATTGAAGTTTTTATTAATTTAAAAAATAATAACATTTAATTAATTAATATTATTTAAAATAAAAAAAATGAGTAAAGTAATCGATAATTATATTCTTAAAGAAATAGTCGGAAGTGGATAATATGGCAAAGTATTTAAATCTACGCATTTAAAAACAGACTAAACATATGCAATAAAAGTTATAAAACTTGAAAAATTTAAAGCAGTTCCTTAATTACATTAATTTACTTTAAATGAAATTCAAACATTAACAAAAATAAATAACCCAAACGTTATTCGTTTCATAGAAATGTTAAGAAGTTAAAATAATGTATATTTAGTATACGAATTCTGCGAAGGTGGCACACTCGAAGACATTTTAAAACAGAAAAAAATTCTTTCTGAAAAAGAAGCCTTAGACATTTTTCAATAAATAATAAATGCTTTTAAATGTATGTTTAGGGAAAATATACTCCATAGAGATTTAAAGCCATCTAATATTTTACTCCATAATAATATAATAAAAGTTGCAGATTTTGGTTTTTGTAAAAGCCTTCTTTCTGCCACTGATCTTACTTAAACAATGGTCGGATCTCCTATATATATGGCCCCTGAGATTCTTAAAGGCTGTAATTATAATATTAAAGCCGATATATGGTCCATGGGAGTAGTTCTTTTCGAAATGCTATTCGGATATTGCCCATATGAAGATAAAACTATAGCACTTCTCATAAATTAAATTGATACTAAACCCCTTTTCATCCCTAAAAATATAAACAGCATTTCCATTTAATTAGAAGAGCTCCTTATTAAAATGCTCACAGTGGACCCTAATAAAAGAATCGAATGGACAACATTACTTAATCATCCTCTTTTTGACAAAAACAGTATCAATATTTTATCCTAAAATAATTTTCAAAATAATAATAATATACAAAGCGAAAAAACAAGCTGTACATAAAACCAAGAAAACTAAAAAGTAAATAATTAAGAAAGTCTAAATTTATATATTAAATATATGGTTTTTATGCGAAATAAAATCCTTTTTTAACTAAAAATACTAAGTGACATTCTTGAATAAAAAGACTGTCAAAACTGTCCCATTTTAAGCTTCTTATTTATGAAAAGCATAACAAATTAAATTAAATAATTGAAAAATTCGCTAAATATATATTTAAAAACTGATGAAGATATAAGTAATTATAATTCATTTTGTTAAATAATAAATAAGGAAATCGAATGCGTTTAGTCTTGCTTGAATTCTTTTCTGGAAGAAATCAATAAGGTTATATTTAATACTAATAATTCATTACTGAAAATAGAATAAAATAACATTCTTATAGATTTCGAATTTTTCAAAAATTCGGTTATTAGTTATGTCAAAAATAAATAAGATAACAATATCAATTTAGAGCATTTAAATGATGTCTTAAATTGCTTTTTGGTAGATACTTATTTCGATAATCTTTTCGATTAGAAATTTAATGAAAATTAAGTCTAGATTTAGTGTAAAAATATCCAATTTATGTAAGATTTGGTTAATTATAAATTAGATTTAGTCAAAAATTTTAATAAACCATTAGATAAAACATATATTTTTATATGAAATTATTATTATTTTTAGTTTTATAAAATTTTAAATTAAAATTAAACAAATTTGTTTCATATATACATTTTTTATATATATATATCTTATATTTTTTTACATAAACATTCAAAAAAATTTAAAATATAATAATTTTATTTCCTATGTTAATAAATATATTAAAAATTATCTTTTTTATAATTTATTATTATTTTAATTACAATTAAATAATAATTAATAAAATATATTATAACCTAAAATTATTATCCATTTATATATAAAATCAATTTAAATATATATCTCATTATTTCAATAATTAATATAATATTTATTCTATATTATAGTTTTCATTTATATATTATAATTGATTTTGATTTAATATTATTTATTTATTTTAAATTATCTTTTAATTTATAATTATTTTATTTATTTTACCTTAATCTTTTAATTTATAATTATTTTATTTATTTTACCTTAATCTTTAATCTAATATAATTATTATATTATTTTTTTTAATTTTATTTTATTTTAGAATGTTTTTTAAATTTATTTTTAAAATATTATTTTCATTTTTTATATTATTTTTAATTTTGTATATAAACAAATTGAAATATTAGAAAATTTATTTATAAATTTAATAATATATAATAATTATAATCAAATAATTATTTATAAAATATTTTTTTTTTTTAAATAAATGAATTTTTAAGGAATTATATGAATTTTTAATGATTTTAAATGAATTTTTAATAATTTTAAATGAATTTTTTATTTGTATATTTGTTTATATAGTTGGAATATATGAAAATGAAAAAAAATAAAAAATCATAATTTTATTTAACTCCCGTATACCTTTTAAATTTATTTATTAAGACATATTTTTTCTTTTACAAATTTAATATATTTATTAATTAATTTTATATTTTTATAAATAAAATTTATTAATTTTTTTTTTTGTATGTTTCATATAATTGTATGATTTTTTTATTTAAATTTAAGTTATATATATAATCTGCTTTTGATTTTTTTGCATTTAGTAAAGTACATATTAAAAATTTTATTATTTTTTATGTGTTTTTGAATAATATATATTTAGTAAGAAAACAAATCTGATATAATTTGTTATTTTCAAATCTAATATTAAATTATACTTGATTTTTAGTTTAAATATTAAAAACTAAAAACTAAATTTTATAATTTGATTATTCATATTTATTTTAATATGTTTATGTTAGTCATATTATTATTATTTTTTTTCAAAAAGAAAATTATTTAAATTTTATTTTGAAACTAATTTAAAGAAGAAAATTCTAAAAATTTCTATTTTGTATTAATAATTAAAATATTATAAATATATACTATATTAATATAATGCTATAAAAATAATCAAAAAATTATCTATTTTATTTTTTAATTAATTATAAAGTAAAAACGTTTCTAATTATAATACATAAATTAACATTTAAAAACAATATAAATTATAAAAATTTATATATTATTATTTTTTTTTAATAAATTTATAAAAAAAATGAGTCATTATAAAGCATTAATGAGAAAAAATCTTATTCTTTGGAAAAGAAGTTGGTGTGGATCTTTTTGTGAAGTATAAAAATTAAATTAATATATATAAAATTAATTAAATAAAAAAGGTTGCTTTACCAGTTTTAATGGCATTATTATTTTTCATATTTAGAGCTTAAATAGAGACAAAAGTAAAATACATAAAAAAATAAAAATAAGAATAAAATATAGAATATACCAGAAACATCATATTATTTAAATCCTAATCCATTCACTAGAGAATAAGAAATAAAAAATATTTACCCTGATTTTCCTCAATATTATATTAAGAGCAAAGAAACTCATTAACTTAATGCCAAAATTCCTCCTCTTCCTGCTTTGGATTGCATAAATTATATCGGAAGTAAAGTATATAGATCAGGCCATATAGCATTAGTTAATGATAATC